CTCTATCTGCCATGTTATTATCATGCATTAAAGCTGATTTACAGCGTCGCTTATCCACAAAGCCTGCATTTACAGACTTGAAGTGGCACATGCACTTACAGGGTCACTGCCTCTCCATGCAGCCCCAGATTCCTTCCTCTGCACCAAGGCAATAGGCACACACAAAAAGCCACTTTCTCTCATGGCCGCTTATCTAATATTGCCGGACATGACCGCAGGAGAGCTAAAAGACACTGTGTATGAACCAGCAGACCCAAATTCCACCAAATGAGTCTGAGTTGGATAAGAGAAGATGGTTAAACTGGATGAAAGATGACTCTCTAAACCTGGTCCTTAATCCAGCATTCAATAAGTTGTACTCTAATAAGGTAAGAGACATTAATCAGCATCATTTCATAAATCCAGATGAGCCCAGTTTGGCAGCACTCTCCAGGAAAACCACCTGCTATCATTGCATATAAAACGCCAAGAAGCCCTATGAGCTCATCTTGCCGGCATTGGGTCACTTCTCTGAACTTCACTATTTACTAGCTTCATCAAAAAGCCAAAGCCAAAGGGCAGAAATGACCAATACATAAAATATCCTTTTGAAGAAGAGCTCTCCGTACACAGGGCAACTCTAGATGAAAACCAGCTGCAATAGACCTTTAACCCGGCCATAAAGTCAGCCCACATCAACAAAAAGAACCTTTTAATGACCCTGGTTGTAACGAGTACAAAACTGGGAAAATAAAAGGCATATGCTGCTATTATACCCCTAAACCCCTCTATAACTGTGTCACTGTTATTTGATTAGAAATTTTCTCTAAAACCAACACACAATGGCGTATTTTCTCTTGAAAGAAAATGCAACTGAGTTTTTCTTTTTTTTCTTTTTTTCATGGTTCCTCTGTTCCACCAAGAATGGGAGGAAAACATCTGGAAGACATTTCTTTGGCTTTTTGGAGGGCTTAGCAGACAGCACAATGGAACTTATCAAATCCAGATGGGGAGGCGCTCAGAGAAACAGCAAGGTCCTCTGTTTATCCCTTTTAAACTTGCATTAGGATTAAACACATATAAGTTCATTGCATTAATTCCCACTTCCTGAAGATATATTGTTGACGTTGCCCAAACACAACTGCTCCTCGACTGCTGCTATATGTCACCTACGGGTTTGGTTAACATATGGCTTTGTTTTCATTTGCGCAAGGTATTCAAAGAATGTTTTTTCAGTATTTCTAATGACTGGGTTCTGTTCCTGTGTGAATTTCCAGCTGTGGAAAAAAAAAAAAAAAAAAAAAACGTTAAAAGTGAAATTTGATTAATCAATTTAATCCAATTTAGAGAAAGTCATAAATAAACCATTTCCATATAAATAAAACATGTGGTAGATGGAAATAAATGAATTAATATCCAAAGAAAACATTGCTGCTTGCATGCAATCTAAAAACATAATCTTGCTACAACCTGGAAACGCTCATTGAATTCTGAATCAAAGGCAAATGATAAGGTTGGAAAAGAGACTTCAAAGTTGCTCAACATCCCACTGTGCAGCTTCTTTTCATTAAATGCAACCTCAGTTTTCATCTTAGTCTCACTTCCTCCAGCAGAGCCAAAAGGGAATCTATTGAAACAAGAAAAAAAAAAAGAAAAAAAAAACTACCCTATAGCGAAAGAATTCCCCTTCTTTTGGCAATAAAACGCTAAACTTGACAAACATGAAATATCTAGCAGTCACCTTTGAACTCTGACCTTTCTTCTCCTTCTTTGTCTCAGTGACTTGCAGGCCTGGTGTTATTTATACTTTTCACTTAAGTCTTAAAGTTTCCTTTCTAACAGTAAAACAAAATGGCGTTCCAAATGAGCCGTGAACTTTCATTAGCATAGCCTGATTAACTTTCAGTGGGATGATTATCTGGGTATTTTGTTCCCATCAATGGGAGTATGAAAAACTCAACATACATTATGTGACACACTGTATGTAAACAGGCTGCACATTGCTAGCAAATCTCTCTATAGCTTGATTTCATAGCTTCTTTTGTTGTCAGAACACCAGCAGAAACTAGCTAATGATAAAGACCAGTAGGACCACAACAAATACCATTTTGTTTTTACTTACTTTACTTTTAAAAATATTTGGTTTTATGTAAAAAAAAAAAAAAAAAAAAAAAAAGCTTAAGTCTGTTAGCACAGTGGGCTAACCTCAGAAGTACATATTTTTCTCAACAATGGCGACCTCCCAATAAATATTTTCTCGAAAACTAAAACCTTCTGTCTACACAACATGTAATTGTAGCATGAAAAAGGTGAAAAGACGTGAATGTGGATATGTTTATTGAAGTCTAAATGTGGTTGAAAAGTAGTTTAGGCTGCTGGGCTACAATGAGTAAATGTTTGGCCAGTATCAAAAACGCAAGAAGAATGTGAAAACTGAACTTTCCTTATTAAAGTCAGTTTAGTTGCTGTCGGATAAAGGTGATCTATTTACATTGTAATTCAGGAAGATGCTTTAAGTAATCCTGTGTAAAAAGATGGTTTTGACAACACCTATTTCTTATTTTAAGTGATATAGCTAAATGGCAGCCCATATGAAAATGTATGCTAAGCTGTATTATACAATATTATAAAAAGATAAAGTTCTATACAGTGATGTTAGATCAAGAGGCTATCATTAGCTTAGCAAGTCCCGTTTTGAATTCTGTGTAAAAATCAAATTGAAAATCAAACCTCAGTGCCCTAATGACAGTGTGTTCATGTTAAGAAAACATTTCTCTTGTTTAGTGAATCGATTCGCCTTCTATGTATTTCGTTCTGTTCCAGGTCAAAGGAGACTAAAGCAAGAGGTCACCAGTCCAGCAGAGGTCCCACACTATCATTTCTTCCATAAAACCAAGCATTTAACTTTAAAATCTAGGTTAATTACATTGACAGAGAGGGCATGCTAACTCCCATAACTGTGGTGAAACACTGTTAACCGACACCCAGCGCCACTTTGTTGTTTTTAATTAAAGTGCTGTGATAATGCAAGTAACTTCTCATTCAGGCTTGGAATTGTGATCAATATGGAATGTAAATAATAAAAACATCATGTGTTTCAACATGTATATTGCAAATTTCAACATACTCAAGCAATCATAGCAATAGCTGTGCCTTGTACAATGCCTTTATTCTATATCTGTGCAAGCCTTTCAAAGGAACTGCACTAAAACTTAGCCTTGGGAGGTAGGAGGCTGTTAGTTATGAGTGAAAAAAAGACTACTACAGCTGAAGAATAGGAAAGTTAAACCTTTTTTGACTTGGGGGGTGAAACGTTACATGTCACAGTGTTTTAAGATTACCAACGCTGTACTTTGCGATGACAAAGAGCACGATAGTAAAACTGAAAAACGTTGACGGAGGAGATAATTAGTTTACACAGGCTTTTCATGTACCTGCTATGTTACTACCTCTCAATCAACGAGTCTTTACTGGCATATGTCAGCTTCAAGTTTCAAGAAGCATATCAGTGCCCTGAGGATCCTTTACATGAGTCATATAAGTTTTGATAGACTTTTCTTTTTCTTTTTTTTTTATCCAGCCTGCAGCATCAGCATCAAGCTCCATCTCCTCTTTGATCCACTAAAAGCAATCACAATTCAAATATTCTGAAATAGCCAATCGTAGATCCAAATATTACACAGATATACGGTTTGGACAAGCAACAAGGAACTGAAGTGACAAACGTAACTACTTCATATGTGTATGAGCTAAAAAGGACAAACAATCTTTTTCTCCGCTGTAAACAGACACCAAAGTGGTGATTATGACTCTACAAATTCACAAGCTCAGCACAATCTCGGACACTTCCTGTGTACAACATACAGAAGAAGCCACCTGTTCAGCTCAAAGACTGATGTCGGAACATCGCAGCAGACCACCAGCAATGTCAGGCCGTCTTAAGGTTGCTAATAATACTTAAAGGCCAGACCCAAGCCTGACTTCTTGACCTCCAAGAGACAAGAAAAGCTCTTAAATGTCACCTTCCACATAACGGTGGATCAAGGATTTGAAGTTTAAGTCATATTTGAATGAAATGCTAACATTATGCATAAATATTTGTGGATTCGGTTACACAACCATCACTGACAGTAAAGAGGGGACCCCAGCACTTTAAGAGCTGTGTCCCCTGGCGTCGGAGCCCTTCAAACCGCTCCACCCTACCACTTCAGAGGAGCTTCAGCCCCTCCCATCTTCTGAAAACTGTACCCATCCTTCCCATCTGTTTAGGGAGAAGAAGAAAAAACTGGAGCAGCAAACGCCTCACTGAAGTTTCTTGAAGTGCACTGCAGAACTTATTTTTGCAAAAAGGCTCGTAAAAATGCGAAGCATTCGAAAAGTGCCCCTCTCCACAAGAAATGATTAGGATTGTAAATAACTGACAACCTGCAGAAAGTTTTAAAAGGGATGGCAAGATGGTGACCGCTAATGATGATGGAATGGCACACAAAAATTAAGTCATGGCAGGACATAAGGTGTTTTAGTATGCTTTTGTATTTATACTAGTGAGTGGTGGTTAGTTGAAAGTGGTACACTGTAAAACAAAACGTTCTATATGCACAAATGAATTCACTAACAATAAGTAAATTTTACAACTAGTAAAAGCTTGTTCTGTCGTGTCTTTAATTAGTGTTTGTAAAAAATAAATAAATAAATAAATAAAAAAACATTATGGGTATGCAAGGGACTGGCAAATATGTACTGGCAACCATTGCCCCCTTTGGTCCACCCTCGGTGGCACCACTGCAATGAGCAACAAAATCATCATTAGCGCCTTCCTAAAGAAAAAAAAAAAAAAAACTTTTCCAAAAATCGCAAAAACGTCCCACACTTTTAAAAGTCCCCCTAAAGTTCCTGACCCTGCAAGCTGAATAAGTTAAGGCACTAATAGAGGAGGAGGGGCGCTCATCAGTGACCCACTGAAGGGAAAACTTTTTTTCCAAAGTGGATCCCAAACGCATCACACGGCTGCTGCATCTTACCTGAACTTGCACGCGACGTGACAAAAAGCAGAATCACCGCTAAAGTGATCTGGGCGTCCCTTATTCTCCGTTTATCTTTCCATCTTATATGGGTATCCATGACCGCCTTGCGCCGTCCACGGCAAGTGGATTCACTTCTCAACTAAGAGCAACTTAATTAGCCTTGCTATAACTTCTGGTCAGGACGAGAGAAGAAAAAAAAAAGCAAAAAAAAAAAAAAAAAAAAAAAAAAAAAAGCCCAAAAAAGCCCCAAAAAAAGAGAAAAAAAAGGGGGGGGGGGGGGGGTATCGGGAG